GGGTTTTCTTAGCAATTTCATTTCGTTTCTTTTTTTCGCTTTCAGAAAGTATTTCTTTCCTTCTTTGTCAAAAATTTAGTGTCGAACCATAACGTTGGTAATAGCGCTATCGCCGTTTTCTGTAACTGAATGATGATTTTATAGAACTTGTGCTTGAGTTGTCAATAGTATCTATACTTTTATAATGTCTATCAGTATGTTCCATAAAGGCGCTGAGCGTAACGACCGGCCTTAGATTGCAGATTAAGCGCCGCGGGTCCACCGCTTGTACACCTACTTGTACGAAGCTGTACAAGTCGTGCTTCAGTGACATTTCAGCCGTGCCGCACCTGCTCAGCGATATAAGGTGTCGTGGGTCGACGACTTAGGGCCGCATGCACTAACATTTCCGCTGGGGAGGGGACCGCAGCTTCAAAAGAAAGCTTCATATCCTGAAGCTCCGGATTTCTGGATTTCACGCTGTCTACCTACCCGTAAGTACTCCCACCATCCTTCACTATGAACATATTGAGCAGAAGCGAGAAGCTGTACAAGTCGCATTTCCCAGCTTTTTGTAGGATTCCCTGATGATCCCTGGGGGACGAACAAGGACAACAACAACAATAAGACAACAACAACAAACAACAACAACAACAACAACAACAACAACAACAACATATTCTTCAAAGTCATTTTTCTTTCTCCGAAGTTTACGAAAACCTTCCAAAGCTGTAATAAATCTAACACAACAGTGCCAAGCATGTTGCTGATGAGAACAAATGAATTTTTGAAAAATCGAATTTTTCGGTAAACCCCAAATTTCGACCTGTGGATCGTCGAAAATTTCATGACTTCAAAACATCATTTGTTCTTATAAGCAACATGCTTAGCGCTGTTGGGTTAGATAATCTGCACAACTTTGGAAGTTTTTCGTTAACTTCGGAGAAAGAAAAATGCTGCCTTTAAAGAAAAGCGCCGGGGATCATCAGGGATCTTACAAAAGCTGGGAAATGCGACTTGTACAGCTTCTCGCTCCTGTTCAACATGTTCATAGTGAAAGATAGTAGGAATACTTACGGATAGGTACACAACGTGAAATTCAGGTATCTAGAGTTTCGAAATATGAAGCTTTCTTTTGAGCTGCGATCCACTCCCCGCGGCCATGTTAGTGCATGCGGCCGTTAGAGTGTGTATGCATGATTCATGACACGCAGGGTGGGCGCCGTTGAGTCTGGCAATAACAGTTCATGGAAGAGAAAGCAGATGGTAAGAGAAACGAACGAGCGGCTTGGTTACAGAGACACCGATGCGTCCGCAGTCTTTGCGAGCTAAGAATTGTCTATACTCATGTTCTGAACAGAAAATCCATATCTGAACTGACTCGGACCAACCTTTCACCCACACAATTTTGGGGCGGGGCTGTGTCGTAGTAGTTTTCGTTGTCCTCGGTATTATTTTGGTGATTTTTTGCAAACCTTGCGCTGTGACCGCCGCTGGCGGCCTCCAGCCAATACATTGAAGTGGGCGAGGGGGAGAATTAGTGATGAAAAGACTCCCCCTCAGGCATAAGTCGTAGAAGGCACTGAACCTTCACATGTTATATATCTGAAAGCTCTTGATGAATCTAGCCTATGAAGTCTTAACATGAACAGCGCAACTGAAGAAGTTATGAGTTGTTGAATTTTGAAAAGCGCTTTTTTACCGCTATTTAGGAGTCTGGATCTCGGCGGTGTTTCAATTTAACGAAACGACTAAAATATATTCTGATAAGGATCCTTACTCTACAAAACCTATGAAGTTGCAACATCACACTGTTAACTCTCACTAAACAAGCTAAAATGGGTAATTATTCAGAATTCCGGTTTTTTGGCGATCATCTCTCGAATCGACTTGATTTTTTCGCTGTCTAATAGAGCACCACTTACTCTTCAAAACCTATGAAGTCGCAATTGCTGGCATCCTCAAGCACCTTTATAACAGTGAAAATTTCTCATGATTTTTCGCTTTTTTATTATCCAAAATTCTGCTTTCCGGTGGTTACTCCCTGGATCGCCCTACTTTCTTCGCTGTGCTTTATAACAAAATTTTCTTAATAAAATTCGTACAATTTCGCTGAGTTTTACTTCCAAATGCAATGATAAACACATTTATTTCAGCATTTGTTCTACTTATCTTCCTTTTTTCATTCAGCAAAAATATTCTTCAAAACCCAAAAGTAAAGGGATAGTCACCCTGTACTAGGTCAAAAGTGAAGGTAGGGGGAGAATCGGCTCCCCCTATCGCATGTCTGTTCACAAGCCTTGGACAACAAGGCTAGCCAACAAGAGTTGGTATGAAAAATATGGTGTCCACGAGCTGATCCCAAAAAATTTGATTTTTCTACCGCAGTATTTGTGGCACTACAAATTTTTTAAGAGATTTGCTTTTGCATTTTCATGCGAAAATGAACTGCCGTAGTAATGTATGGACTACATGTAGGAATTGTGTTTGTCCTAAAGGCTAAATAGCGGCACCCAGACTCAAAATAGCAAATGGAATGGCTTGTTTGCAAGCCTGTTCCTCTAGCAAACGAAAAGTCTGAACAGTAATGTAGAGCGCAAGGAAGCCGGCATTTTTCTATTGTCAAGACACAAAATCCTTGTTATACAGGGTGTCCGTAAAGTATGCATACACTGTTTGATCGTTAATATCTCTTTTCCCAAGAAGTCCTTTGCCTTGCTTCAGGTACCATTTTGTAGAGCTGGCTTCATCTTAGATTTGCAGTATACAACGAATCACCCATCTCTCTTCATTACTGTAGGATTACGGTAGAAACTTGAAACATATGCTGTCAATGTGAAAAAAGCCGCCGTTTCAAATTTTTTCAAAAAATGTGAAAACTTGTGGTTTTTATGGACGCTGAGTTCACTACTCAACTATTCACAAGATTGCGAAGCTTTCTAAACGGTGCAACCGCACTTTTTAGGAACATTGAAAAAACGGCCGCCACCTCTTACCTGGCATAACTCTTCAATGACGCATCACAATAAGTTAGGAATCTTACAATTAGAATCAGCAACTCTAATTAGCCTAGTGTAAAAGTTTTCAGGTTGTTTTGTCTCCTTTCTGAGGCAAAATATGGCCTTTCATGGCCCCAGACCCTCTTTCAACTTTCTACCGTAATCCTACAGTAGAGGAGAAAGATGGACGATTCGCTCTATACTGTGAATCTGAAGCCAGCTCTACAAAATGGTACCTGAGGCAAGGCAAAACACTTCTTGGGAAAAGAGATATCAACGATCAAACAGTGTATACATACTTTACGGACACCTTATATATAAACTGGAAACATCCGGCGCGACGACGAAAACTATACATCGTTCTCCCACCCTGACGCTTCCCCCCCCTTCAGCGTTGCGAGGGGGAGTTGTTGACAGTGTGAGCGCGCGAGACATCACACTCTCTCGCAGAGGTTTGGGACGATGAGAGATTTAGAAAAGCGGTGTACTCCTATACGCAGACAAGCTCGAGAGAAGTTGTCTCGACATTTATCAATTGATCGCACCCTACGACGCATGCGATGACGACACGTGCTTTGACTTTGCCTGCGATGACTCGTGATCAAATACCGTATGTTCGGTTTATCACGGCACAGCTGGAGCATCTCTACTGCTTATATATACGGTTCCTCTTCTTTTCATATCTTTAGGTATTCCACCTTCATTCTAAAGATTCCCTTGCCCCTTGCCATTCTGCATAATTTTGATATGAAATCTGAGCATTGCAACTCTCCTTAGAATAGTCGTTAGAATTCAACTTGTGAAATGTTGACGAAAATCCCGATTCGAAGAGCAACTAAACAGCAAAAAATGCATTTTTCACAGGCTTTCTCTGTGGTTGATCAGTATTTGGAGAGAAAAGTTTTGTTTTCCCCCACAATTTCCATGAAAAACGGTGAACCTCGATTTCGACAGAATTTACGCCACAGGAAATGCCTTTGTTCCCGAAGTGAAGACTCAGCATAGAAGCTGTGGTCTCGCTGATTGATCTTCGGCAACCTTTCTCTGTGGCTAATACTTTTTGGAGTGAAGAATTTTTTCTCTCTCCCCCCCCCCACAATTTTCATGAAAAACGGTGAAGATCTCGATTTCGACAGGAATTAAGCCACATTGCCCACGGCCTCCAAACACCTCAGCTTTTGCTTTCAAATGCTGGGACTTTTCCCCTATTGTTTGATTTCCAACGGCCTATTATCTTTGCTTTGGAGTCTTTTATTTTGCTCTTGCTCCCGGAGTGAAAACTCAGCATGCATCTGCATTGGTCAGCCATGTTAGGGAAGCGATTATGTTGATTTTAACTAAGCAGCGGAAGAAGCAAGCTGTATTAAATAACTGAATTTTGGTGGTGATATTTGGAAAGAAGGATCAGATATTTTTTGTGTCTACCTGCAAAGTCTGATTTTTCATTTATTTAGCTTCTCTAAAGAGGAGGTTGTGAACACCATTTATAGGTTAGATGCAGTCCCAAAAGCAAATACTAATGTATTCCGCCCGATCCACTTACAGCGGCCCGTAGGGCCGCTAGTCTTGAATCTAGATTCTTTTAAGAGTTATAGAGTTATGCTTAGATTATGCAAGAACTTTCTCGTCAGCCTAATGTGGATTTTCTCCGCCTAGTTTCTTGAGTTATGAAGGTATTTCAAACGCTACACCACAAAGCGTCTCCAACAGTGTCTTTCTTATAAACGAACGTTTATAAGAAATATGCGCTTGTTTTTGGCAAGGAGACGTTACCCTCTTTCTTCGAAAGGAGCTCTTGTATGGATTGGTTCAAAACTACTCTAACTTAAGCGTGGCCGATGCTCATTCAAACAAGCATTTTGTGCTCCGCAATGGTAGATGTGAATATACGTTTTTAAGGGGTTCTTTTCAGTCTATTCCCATTTTTTATTATAATTTTATATGCATTCAGCTTCTACCCAATTATCCACAGTACCATCGATAACGACTAGTTCACAACATTCATTAATACAATATGTCGTACTGTGAAATGTCTTTATTATATCACATGGTTTTCAGGATATTCCAGCAGCCAGTCTTGCAGCCTTAGCAGTAGGCTTGTACATGGCAAAGTTGCAAACTAGGTCCTCGCCCACCTGCAAACAAACAATGGATTTATAACCACGTTCTTCAAAATTACCTTCATAGTCGCTGCGAAATTGTCAAATTGGCCACAGTAATGAGGTGCCGAGAAGATTGTTACAAGTTTTTTTGAGGCAAAAAACTCGTACCCGTCTTGCACCACCTGTCAAGCAGCAGTAACACTAAGGACAATTCGTAAACCATATGGCAAACCTGGTGAGCTCTTGCAATCAAGTCAAGGTTCATTTTCTGACAGACGTCGAATACCACATCCTGACCAAAAACGTAGGACACTCCGCGCGTGTTCGCTTGCCACCCCCGTAAATCATTATTCTCATTATTGGACTTTCATAAGCTGTGATCGTAAATCAGTCACCTTCACCCATTGGTCGGGATCGGCCCAAAGCAGATCTATACCCATGGATGGGTTTGGAGGATCCTGTGGACGAGGAAGATGTCGCAGCTGCTCTATGTTGGCTAACTGTGGTGACAATCCGCCATGCATGCACAGAATTCTTCCAGCGATATATCCGCACAATGGCATCCAGTTGAAGGTATCCTGCAAGGCAAGATGAAGCGTCTACGGTTAATATCTCTTGATAAAACTGGGAAGTACTATGGAATTACTTGAAATGAACTCCATAAGCGTGAGCTCTTGTATCTCCGATTGCATTCCTCGTAAAAACCGTACACGCGGTTAATTGCTGGACATTCGTGGTTCCCACGAAGCATAAAGAAACTTTCAGAATATCTGAATATTTTCGAAGTAAATATCGGCTTGACGCATAACATCTTTGCTCACTTGATCCTGTAGCAAAATACGAGGCATATGGTTTCTATGTTCTGACGTCCTCTATCAACATAATCACCAAGAAATAAATAGTTCGTCTCAGGTGGAAAGCCATTTTTATCGAAAATGCGCAGAAGATCCGAGTACTGCAGGTAATAAAATGTTTTGCTCACTGTTAGAAAAAAGACATGAGAAAGACTAAGAACTCTTTAGGCACAAAGAGTATAAACAATTCTATGAGGTCATAATCCGTCTTCTTTGACCCCTGTAGACGACAATCCGCGTTAATAGAGATGTTATCTCAAATGTTTCTCCCACCGTGAGCGGGGCTCGGCACAGCTGGCATCGGGTCAAGCTGGATATCGTTTTTAGGGCGAAAGCAAAGGGGATATCGTTTCTCCGGGGTCCGGAGCGGAGAGGAGTTGCAAGAATGCCGCCGGCATGCCACCGGCATGCTGTCCATCAAACAAACAAAGGCGTTTTTTCAGCCAAAACGCAATAGTATGACATCAAATTTGGTGTGCTCATGCGTATTGGGGGACCCGAACTATGGCCCAAAAATGTATGAAAACTTATGTGAATGAAAGCTGTGCTGAACTTTTTTCTAAATTAGCTGGCACCGTGCCAGCTGGGTGCCAGCTGAGCTGGCACCGACACTTTGCTCACATAAGTTTTCATACTTTTTAACATAAAACGTATCTACACCGTAAAAGTTTACATACAGAGACGAAACAATTTCATAATGTTTTCTTTTCAGCGTTTTATAGCCTTCTAAAAATTACTGGTCTGCTCCGCAGTCAAAAAATCGGCTTTTTCTGCTTCTCAACATTGATTCAGCCACTTAAAAGGCTCAGAAAGCTGTAAAAAGTTGTTCCATGAAATCAGCATGCATGAAAAGCCTACTACGTGATTTACATAATCTAAAAATAATGACGGGCATTCAAAACAGGTCAAAGGGGACTTCGTATGAAATTTTCAAGATCAAACAGGATTTCGTTTTGAAATTTCCCTGATGCCAACTCGTGCCGAGCCCTGACTGTGAAAGTAGAAAAACAAACCAATCATCTTCTTAAAGGCAGTGTCCGGGCGCTCAGTCTTGAGATTTTCATTTACCGAGGCCTATTCGCTATGCTGAATCCAAAAATGCAAACCGAAGAGCGCGAAGACGGCGAAAAAGGGCTCTAATGCGGGAGGAAAATCAGCAGGTGAGCGGGGTTTTTCCCACTGTGAATTCGCGCTCCCAGCTTCCATGCGATCTTCTCGGTTCCCATCTTATCGGGTGTTCGCACTTGGCCGGTGGCAATGATAGGGCGGCTAGCGGAATCAAGAATTTCGCTCCAGAAACGGAGAGTGAATTCACAGTGGGAAAGGCCCACCCTCTTGCTACTTCCATCCTACGTTAGAGCCCTTTTCGCCGTTTACGCGCTCTCCAGGTGACTTTCAGATCCAACATAGCGAATATGCCCGGGTAAGCATAAAATCTCGAAGTAGACTTTTTGCCCGGACTGTGCCTTTGAGATAGTAGCTATTCGGTTTTCATGATTCCTATCCTCCTCCTTCGCTCATATGTCAAAACTGCAGATCCTCAATACGAGTGGAGGAACGAACACTGTTGCTGAGCCCGGCCATGCGAAACGTCTTCACATAGCACGCAATATCATGAGAGTAAGGACACCAGCCGATGGCACCTGCTGGTGGTGGTACTCCTTCCTCCGCCATTAGTACTTTGTATTTATAATATCTATTCTCCTTTCGTTGCTGTGTCAAAGCTGCGAACCCCAATATCACTCTAGTCATTTGACCCTTTCACCTGTAAGTGCATCTGAATTGGCGAGCACTAAAAATTCGAAAAAGCTGCACGTCTAGCCATGATTGCAGTCTCTTCAAAACCCTGAGACGTAATTCATAAAATGCACTCACTTGTCCATGAATATCTCCACAGACCACAAGAGGGGGTTCAACTTCGATCAGAGACGACTGAGAAATAAACACTTGTCTTGCCATAAAGCAGCACTGTTGTATCTCTTGCTCCGAGACCTAAGAACGTTGTGGTGCACAGGCTAAAAATTAGTTCACACCGTCTCACTGAGGTCGTCAGCCTTCCGCCGGCCATGCCCACATTCAGAAGACGGGACATTAAACTGTCCACATCGAGTTGTGCCATGGTTGAGGAGAGTAGAACACAACCACTGCACTAGCCGCACCACGCTTAAGAACTGACTCTTACTCCAAACCCACTAAACTCAAATGTGAAGTGCGAATCCAAACAACTATTGGTGTAAACAGATTATTGTTTATCATATCAGTCCTGTTACGGTTCTTTCCCAGCTATAGACTGAACGCAGAAGTAGCTTCACAGTGACCTTTGATAACGAGGGAGTTGAAGTGGTTGTTGGCATGAGGGTCGGGCGTACCTCACATGATTTCATGGCCTTGCCATTCTCCCGTTAAGACAACTATCACGGGGGTCCATTGCGTGGTGGTCATGTTGTATTTCGGTTATAATCGTTCTTCGTGTATCGTGTCAGAATACTATCACACGAAATGCAACGTGATCGACATGCAAAAAACTCGAGTTGTCTTGTTGGGGAATCGCAAGAAGATGAAATCGCTTGACGTATTCCTGATCCTTGACAGAGGTCTACTCTGCTGATTGTAACCATCAGCAAAAAAGTTTTCCTTAATCGTTTTCGCCAATTTTTTTCATGACTCACAAAAATCTTAACCAGTGGCGCTAATGTGCGTGCCAACCGGGTGTCGGTGAGCATTTCGTTGTTCATTTTGTTGTTCAGACTAAAGTAAATAACCTCCAACGATTTACTTTGTGTGCATTGAATCAAGAACGCGTATATCATTGAGTATACTAGTTTTTGCATTGACATGCATCCATCAGTGCTCAGACCAGGGGGCTTGCTGGGTGCGAAACTCATGAAACTGGACAAAGATCACAAGCAGTGATTGATCTTCTACTTATAAGATACTAGCTGGAATATCCAGCTCCGCCCGGCATTACATACAATCCGTTGTAAAAAATGCGTTTTCCTCATAAAGAAGAATACAACTTCGGCTCTTTAGTTGTATCTCTCTCTTACCCTTAAAGGTTTAGCTGAATAGCCTTAGGCTTTCCCCAAAACTCATCATTAAGGATGGATAGCTCGCTCGACTGAGTCTATTTAGTTTATTGGTTTGTCCCACCCACATTTCTCAACCGCTGCTGTCCACCTGGCAAATTTTTTCGGGTTTATATTTGCCAATTTTTTGGATTTTCTCTCATTTTTTAAAATTTTTCAATAGAGCGGCATGCAACAGAAAAATACTGTACTATACTACAGTACGCAACTTCGATAGCGCCTTGGGATACACTACATTAGCTGTGCTTTCTTCAGGTCATATATGTGCAGATTCGCCGGACTCCCGACCCTCGTACAGGCCATGCAGCTGACCTCGCGAAAAATAGGGAGCTTCCAAGTCTACTCCTACTGTTCGCAGGGACTGCCTTTGCGCGTCTTGATCGTCATAACGAGTGCAGGCTTTAACGGGAATTGCTGTCGCTTGGAGTTGAAGGGCATATCGGAGAGGATCTAGAGATTCGTGAAACGAAAAGGACCTCGTCTTTTGAAATTCATCACCAGTATAGTCGCCATGTCGTTTGATATGAGGTTCCTGAAGCAAAGCCATGTCCCGTCGCAGAACCTCGCTAGGTCAATGTAATGAAAGAGCAGAATCGGTAAACCAACCTTCAGATGAAGTCGTGAGGTGTATCCCATTGGGCTCGAGTTAATCTGACAACTTAGTGGGGAAGTAAACAGCCTGTTCACATTAAACCATCGTATCAACGGATATGTACGCTGATACTGGTCTAGGTAGGCTGTTTAGAATCTGAGCGCTAATAGAATTCGCTTGCTCATTTTTGGGTGCCAGAATTGCACGCTCGCAAATCTAATTCCCATTGGTAATTGGTGGCAATGTTTGGACAGATTTTATCTGTCAGTTCTCCCACCGATTGAACCATACTGTGAATGTTTGGAGGAAAGGTAATCCAGCCAGAACTTGGTTCAACCGGAATTCTGTCTTAGCCAAGAAAAGGCAACAGCGCACAAAGCTTCTAGCAGTCTCATTGCCAAGGAGGTGGACTCGCATGTTCGTCGTGAGATTTAGCGATCGAACATGTCTCAAGAGATGAGAAGCTTTGAAGCAAGCATTTAGCTCATCTGCTGGAGTCTATAGCACGAAATCGCTGTAGATGGAATGGCTACCGACTACATGGATCACCAAGCACTAGTTCTAAACGTAGCCCTCAAGCCACTGTGCAAGCCGCACGCCACATACGCTTGTAGGCGTTTAGCCTACAACGATGCTGGCGATTTCGTACAGCCAACCATACTTAGTTTGGCACTATCTGCATCTTGTGCCTATCTGTTCAGAAATAAACTTTTGAGATATTGTTATATGATCCTGTCAATCGGGATTGACGAAAGTAAGCACTTTCAAGCACAATTCTCTTACTGTTCCCCTTCTTCTGTTGTATTTTTGAATAACTCAAAGGCACCGTCCACCCTGGGGTTGGTGAGATTATGATACCTAGCAGATGCGGGGCCCCCAACTGTATGATTGCCCACTCGCGCTGCCTAAAGTTGCTTCCGAATCGAAAAAATTGCATCGGAAATCGCTTCAGGCCGCGTCCGCGACGCTGGCTCCTCCCCTTTCGCAGTAGGCGTGACGTTCGTCCCGCCCATCCGTGCGCGCCCAACCAATCACCGCACCGAAGAAATCGCTCTGTGGGTTCTGAAAACGGGGTTTTTCGTGGTTTTCGTGGATTTTCAACTTGATATTCGGAATCAGGGGTATGAGAAGGCCCTGGAACGGCAAAAACATGGAGGTCAAAATTTTGGGTGGACGGTGCCTTTAATATTGAGGAAGGCTTCCTCGCACTTGTCATCCTTCCAAAAACAAAAGCTGTGTCTATGTATGTGGAGAAAAAGAAAAGTGTCTACTTTTAGTTCCTTTTTTCCCTTCCTTTTCCCTTTTAGAGATTTTCGGCTGGCTACTTATTTAAAGTTTCTGAAACAAAAATCAATCGACAAAGGCACTTTAACATCTACTTTCCTTGGTTTCATGTACCGCTATCGATCAGTATAGTGTGCTTGCGCTGCAGGAAAAATGCGGTAAAATTTGTGCGTGCTACGCATGTGGCCCCGGCCATTTGCGCATACAAAATGCCGGTATTACTGGCATGGCGGCTCACGCGCAAATTCAACCGCATTTCATCTGCAATGCAAGCACACTATATTTAGTGGAAAATCTACATGACTGTATTTGAAATTACACATAGCTGCATAGAGCGCGCCGCTTGATTCAAAGCAACTTCAAGTACCGCACGAGAATACTTCAAGTACCGCACGTTTAAGAAAACAGCTTTTTTCAGCAGAGGATCGCAAAAACAGGTGTGTTTGCTGTTTAGTTCGAATGTTCGTTAAAGGCAGTGTCGTCAAATCTGTGCGCATGGGTTTTCCGCCTGAAAATTGATGAGGGAGTCCTAACTAAGGCACTGCCCAAGAGGCAACACAAATTGTTTATTCACTGCTGAGAAACTCATCCCCGAAAACCCCGCACCTGCGCCGTGACGTAACCCGAAAGCGACTTCGCTCACTTCAACACTACGTTCGCGCTGGGACCCATCCCAAGTGTTACGGTCACGGCGCGGCCGCAGAGGGGTGGAGGAACGAACGCCTCAATTTGGCACCGCCTCCGCGGACTACTGGTCCCAACATGATGTACAACAGTAGGACGAAAGGACCAGCAGTCCGCAGAAGTGGCGCCTAATTGAGGCGTTCGTACCTCTACCCGCCGCAGAGTGTTTGAGGATGGATTTCTCAGCCGTGAACGAATGATTTGCCCTGCCGTTTGGGCAATGCCTTAACTAGGACTCCCTCGACAGTTTCCAGGCAAAAACCCTTATGCCCAGATTTGCCTGGACACTGCCTTTAAGCCCAGATATAGCCCAGAAAGTCCCAGAAGTACATGCACGACTACAAATGTAGTGGTTTGACGGTACATAAAAAGCCTATGCTTGTTGTGACTGCTTCATAGGACACTGGGATTGGTTTATTTCCCGAAATTTCAGACTCTGAAGAAAGCGATACCGCCGAAAACGTCAGTCGAATAGAGGATATACCAATCCCGGTGTCCAACTGAGCAAGCCACAACAAACATCTACAATATGCCGAGATTAAGCGACAATCGAACTTGGACAATACCGAAAACTGCTCCCGAAAGGTCATAATTAGAAGTAAGTCAGTTGCGCATTTGAGTCAAGCAAATGTAAATATCAGCTTGTTGGTAAGTATCTAACTTAACTTATACAGCTCTAAGCTTTTTTTAGCATCCATTAAAGTTTTGGCAAAGTATCTCCAGCTTAGGTTGTAGTGGCGACTCAATTTGGTGTTCGATCTATCATTTTGCGTTGAACAGCCTACGATTTACGACGTAGATATAATAGTAATAAAGAGTAAATTAATTATACAAGCGCGGCGGCAAAGGCAGCGTACACCCAAAATCTAAGTTACCTAATTCTCTATACGGTGTAAATGTAGGGCACAGAAGAAGACCAACTGCGTTTGTCCAGTTGAGCAATTCGAAACTCGTCCTCCCTCTGAAGAGAGGGTCCCTGGGAACAGGGTTTTTGGCGGTTTTGGAGAATTTTAATGTCATAACTGTAATCAGGGGCACGGAAAGGCCCCAGAATGACATAAACATCGAAGGCGAAATTTTGGGTGTACTTCATTTTTCAGCTGAGTGACCATTGATCCAAGCAGAAATTTTGCATTCTAGTTTTTATGCTTTTCGAACCCTTCTCGACACGCAATCGGTACTGGGCTTTTCAACCGTAAAAGTGGGAAAACGAAGTTTTTAAGATTCTTTTATGGAAGTTTTTTTTCCTTCGAAGCCCTTAGGTCTGCATTTGCTGGAAAATACGTGTAAGTGGGCGGGGTTCGGAAGTCCGGAAAACTTCCGGAGCGGATTTTAGGCTTTCCAGAAGCTTTTTTCGCTCCTTCACTGATAAGTTAGTGCGGGGGGGGGGGGGTCTCATTGCAATGCTCTAAAATCTCAGTACCCAACATTTTGCCGGGACACTGCCTTTAAAGGCAGCGTCCAGGCAGATTCTCGACTTCTATATTTTTATGTTATCCAGGCCTTTCCATGGC